ACCACCATGACCAATACCACCACCACCATCACCACCACCACCATCACCACCACCACCATGACCAATACCACCACCACCATCACCACCACCACCATGACCATTACTACCACCACCATCACCACTACCACCACCACCACCACCACCATCACCATCATGAACACCATCATCACTGTCACTACCACCACCACCACCACCACCACTATCACCACCACTATCACCATCATTACCACCATCACCACCACCATCACCACTACTACCACTATCACTACCACCACCACCACCACCACCACCACCACCACTACCACCATCATTACCACCATCACCACCACCAGTTGTCACAACTACTCTCACCAACATATATAGGTAATGCCTATGAGTCCTCAATTATCAGCTTTAATGTCATTTTTTGGTTGGTTTTTTTTGGGGGGTGGTGTTCTGTTTTGTTTTGAGACAGGCAGTTCAGATTGGCCTCAGACTTGAAGTGAGACTCTTGTCCCAGCTTCCTGAGTTCTGGGATGCCAGCCATGCACCACCACACCCAGTTAAATGTCACTTTCTTGGGAAGCTCTTCCAACACGCACCGCCACCGCCACAGCGCGTGCCCGAATGTGCTGTGTTGTAACTCTCATTGCAGGTGTTGTTGAGCCATTTCATACGTGATAATTAGTGTTTCTCGGCCAGGGTTGAGGCCCCTTGATAGCAGACGCCACCCCCGTCCTGCTCAGTCTCGGGTCTCCAAGCCCCGGCGCGGCCTGGACTGCAGGGTGCTTGTGACGCGTGGACAAGAAGGCAACGCTTGTATAATTCATGACTTTTCTTTCCACCTTAGAGAGAATTTGTTCCATCAAAGACAATTAGGCCCAGCAAGGAGGAGGATCTGCACCAAGGTCACACATGATCCAGGGCGTGCCTTAAGATGCAAGCCTGACACTTGGTCTCCAGCTAAAGTCATCATATGCTGCTCTGAGCCTGCGAGGACCCCCACAAGAGCACAGTCTTCCCACTGCAGTGGCCACTGCAATGAAATGACCTGCTTTCCGTCCCTCCTCTGCTGCCGCTGTGGGTGTGACTGCGAGTAATTCACTGGCTTGGCTGAGCCTCGGTATTCTTATCTACAAAAGGGAGAGAGTAGTCTAGCTCATCTTGCTGTAGCAGACGGCACTGGATGCGCG